TCAGGGAGCAGGGAGGGCTTGTGGAGCATGTGGCAATCAAGGGAGGTAAAGGCCTTAAACCCGGCGGGATGGATGCTGCAGGCGTGGCTGAAGGCAGGGCGGAAGGTACCAGGGGAGAGCGAGGTCCCGGCTGTACCTCCGGGTATGGGACTGCGATGCCTTCCCTCTCCGTCCCTCCCCGTGTGTACCGTCCCTCGGTCTCCTCCTCCTCGTCAGCCTCGGACATCTCCCCCCTGACCTCCATGAAGGCGGAGGCGCTGAGTGGGCCCCGGCAGTTGGTCCTCCTCCTCTTGATCTCCGTCCTTCCCTTTGGCGGTCACTTCGTGAAGAATTGTTTGACGTCTTTGGAAGTCTACATGGTGAACGACGCCCGCCTCCACCTCAGCGAAACCCGGTATGGCCTCTTGCTCTCCATGTCCTCCTTGCCCAATTTCTTCATTCCTTTCCTGGGCGGGGTCTTCCTCGACAAGCGGGGTCACCGGTTCGCCACCCTCCTCTTCCTCTTCCTCGTCCTCCTCGGCCAATGCCTCTTCACCGTCGCCATCCAACTCGGCTCCTACCCTTGGGCCCTGGTGGGACGGGTGGTGATGGGCTTGGGCGAAGGGTCCGTGGTGGTGGCGCAACGGGCCGTGATTTGCCACGTCTTCAAGGCCCAGGCACAGGTCACTTTCGCCGTCGGCGTCTCGGTCGCCATGGCCTGCCTGAGCAAGACCCTCTCACGCGCCACCGTCGTCCCCGCCGCGGACCTGCTGGGCGGCTACGTGGGCGGCCTTTGGTACACGGTGGTCGTCTGCCTCCTCTCCACCTTGGCCGGTGTCCTCTTCCTCGTCATCTCGGACGAGTCCAAGGAGGACCCCTTCGAACGCCGTCGGAGCAGGAGTCAGGCGGGGGGAGGCTCTGGGTGGGGTGCGAACGGCCTGCGGGATGCCTACATGGGCCGGTCCGTGGACCCAAGCTGTGGAGGTAGCGGGGGAGGCGCCGGGGGAGGCGCCGGGGCAGGGAGGGCCGACCTGTCTCCGGGGTCCTTGGTGGTACATCCGGGTATGGGGGAAGGGGGTCTCCTCGCTCCCTCCTCCTCCCTGTCGGCCGTATCGCACACCCCCACCTACCAATCCATGCTCGCGCTGCGCCGGACCGCTGTATCCCTCTCCGCTTCCTTCTGGGCCCTGGCTTTCCTCCACTCCGTCTACATCAACGTCTTCCATATCTTCTTGAACTTCTCGTCCCATTACTTCACGGTGGTTTTCGGGCGGGACGCCAAATCAGCGGCTTTCCTCACGTCCTCCGCCTCCGTCCTCGTCATTTTCTTGGGCCCCTTGGTCGGTTACATCATGGACAAGATGGGGGGACAGCTCTACGTGTGCACCGCGTCGGCCGCCCTCGTTCTCTATGCCTACATCTCCCTTTCCTTTGATCCTGCCCTCGACCCGCTTTACGATATGGTCCTCCTCTCCATCGGCGAGTCCTTCATCCCCATCCTGGTCATGGCCCTGATCCCTTTCACGGTCCCCCGCCGGGCGTACGGGACGGCCTACGGCGTCATGGAGGTCTCGGGTGCGCTCTGTTCCTTTGCAGGTAACGTCCTGATCGGGTATTTGATCGATCAGGGCCGGCGGGAGGGGAGTGAGTACACGAACGAGTACGAAGTGCCCATGCTCGCGTTGACGGGACTGGCCGGCCTGGGCTTGCTGGCGTTCCTGGGGCTCACGTTCTTTGAATTTTGCTGTGGGCACAAGGGATTGAACACGCGCACGGCCATTGACTACGAGAGTCTGGCAGGCTTGGATGAGTAGTGGGGTCGAGGGCGGGGGGGGGGGCAAGAGCCGTCGGGATGTATGGCCTTGGGACTTGTTGGAATGGAGGAGGTTTTCTTGTCCCCTTGTCAGTTATTGGGGGTCAGAAGGGATACATGGTGTCGTTATCGCGGGCGTGGGGATGAAACGACGATTGACTGATGTGGTTTCCCGACTGGTAGAGTGGGAGGGCAGGGGGTTCGCTCCCGTTCTATCTGGCACGAGGGAGAGAGCGTAGGATTATTCATGTGACCATTTGTATGAGTAGAACTGTCCGCGAGCGAAATGAAGATGTGGAGGAGGCAGGAGTGCCAAAAACGTACAAAAGATAACGTACGAAAAATCTCGGGCAATTTTAGCCAAGGCACCCTCCTCACATCGAACAAAAATAGTTTGAGTACGTAGGTAGCTAAGTCTTAAAGAAGCATAACGAATCATAGGTTACACTGGCTAAACTCATGTCGTAAGATGATTATTTTTTTACAGCGTAAGAGCGGCCAATTTCCCAACAAAGGAGGTTTGGGTACCCAATCGAGTCACGGGCCGTTCACCGGGTCCCCGACACGAGCTTCCCGCCTCAAAGGCAGACACCATATCATCCTTCCCGGTCGATTAAAGGATAAGCATCCTACAACATCGGGTACAATTTTATCTGGCCATGCAACATTGAACACTCGCTATACCTTTTTAACGCGCAGTCATGGCTGCAACGGTAAAGCCAACCTCCCCCCTCCCGGGGCACCCCCTAACGCCTATCCTCCGTTTTGAATGGCTGTCCTGGCCCCCCCGTCGTGTGCAAGGCAGAGACGAGGTTTTGACCTGACGTGCATGGCAGGTTGTGTGTACCGACGGGGGCAGCAGGCAATGCTTTTGTGGTGGTTGGTAGTGACACTGTTTTTGAAGTCAAGCAACTTGTCTCGCTGTTGTCCGTTTCTGCCGTCCTCGGGCAGACGTATGTGCTATCTCCTGCAGCGCACAAAGTGCCTGTTTTTTGAGAACTTACGACACATTCTTCACAAATATGGCACACAGCGCGCTTTTATGACTCCCTCAGTCAAAAAAACCTCCCCTTCAACCTCTTCCTCGTATACCACGACCATAACTACCGCGGGCCATTGGGACCATCCCATCCATAAAGCCGCCCTCCACAACAACCTTGAGGCTGCCAAATGGCTCGTTACTTTGAACCCCTCACTGTTGGAGGCGTCTGGTTTTAATGGGATCTTGCCTATACACTGTGCTGCGCGTCGAGGCCATACAGACCTTCTCCGGTGCGTACTTGCATTGAATTGCCGCTGCCGATCCCTGCTTGACCGCTATTTGTCCGTCGATCGTGGCTTGGCTTTCAAGCTAGAAATCTTATTGAACCTGGCTGGATGACTTTCGGTCGTCCATGTCACTATCGTGGACACTTCTAAACATGTCCTAATCATTTTCGAGGTCGGGGAGATTTATAACGTGGTTTTTTGTCAAAAAGGCGACCTTGGTAATCTCCCACCCTTTTATAAGCAGGTGAATGCCACATTCCGTGACATTAGCCTGGAAAAAGTGTTTCTTCGCATAATTTCTGTGTGCTTTTGACACCATGGATCTATCACTGTACTGACGGGACACCATTCACCACCAGTTTCTTCCTCAGCCAAGGTGCCACGCCCAAGGGCCGAGACAGTGGCGGCTGGACGCTTCTCCATCACGCGGCTGTGGGTGGCCACGTT